GTTATAGTGGATTGGGCATGCGGCAGTTATAGTGGATTAGGCATGCGGCAGTTATAGTGGATTAGGCATGCGGCAGTTATAGTGGATTAGGCATGCGGCAGTTATAGTGGATTAGGCATACGGCAGTTATAGTGGATTAGGCATACGGCAGTTATAGTGGATTAGGCATACGGCAGTTATAGTGGATTAGGCATACGGCAGTTATAGTGGATTAGGCATGTGGCAGTTATAGTGGATTAGGCATGCGGAAGTGTAAGAAACTTGAGGGTCCCCTCTCCAACACTAGGGCACTAATGTAAATCGTTTTAACACAAGTATTATTGGCTACCCTGAGAATCAAAACAAACCTTAGGGGTCGTTAGCAAATTACATAACGCTCAGGGGGGAAGGGGGTCAAACATTTGTGACGTCAAAAAATATAAAATTAGAATCTAAAATTTTCAAATTTTGAAAAATCTGTATTCAATTAATTTTCAAAAAACATTAATTTGAGGTCGAAATTGCCTCTGGTATTATAGGTACCGTTAAACTTAATCGCGCATATCGAAAAATGACGCGAAAACTGTTGTGGCCACTTTACATTCGGCTCGGGGAAGACTTCGCATTTTTAAGTCACAGTTTTCTAATAATACTACATCTTAATCCATTATGGGATATTTGAATTTTTTAAGGTGTGAAGTGACACTAAGTTGGGGGGGGGAGGATTTGTCACCCTTTGTGACAGTGGGGCAAGGGGGTCTGAAAAGCTCATGTTTGGCGTGACGTGATTCGCGAATGGCCCCTTTTTATAAGGGACCGCTGTCATCTTTGCCAGTGGGCATTTTCACTCGAGCCTGGGTGGGAGAAAGCTGGTGGTAAATAAAAAAAGAAAATAATCTGACTGGAAAATAAGATGTAAATTAAACACATTAATTTGCGAATTCTCAAATGGTTGCGTTCACATTCTACAGTGAGTGAAGTTTAAGAAAGAAAATTATTTCTGACAACAGTAACTGTCCATCACAATGTGACGATTGAGTAGACTTTGCAGGACGAAATCACAAGGTCTGGGATTATTCCAGGGAGTATAAGATGGTTCCCTACGCAGCAACTCGCCTCTCTCCACGCACTTTGGATAACCCAGGGGAGCATCATATCAACACCCATCTCCGGTTTTGAATTCAGAGTTTCCTTCTCTTAGATGAGTTGCCACCCAAGGTTAACGAGTCCCATCCGGTGGGGGGGGGGGGGAAGAATGCTGTACTGTTAATGTTTTTGCTTGACTGGACCACGAATTTGGGATTAACTCAGTTTAGACCACTCGGCCACACAGCACCCAATTTTAAAATTATATCTCCCCCCCCCCCCCCCAGATTAACACACTGTAAAATGAAAGCGATTTTTTAAACCACGCACCATTTCAAAGTTAGCTCATACAACAGCCGCGTAGCTAAGGGGGGGAGGCGGAGGACAGATGTCCCTGGGCGCCAGACTAGTTAGAGGCGCAAGAATGTGCTTTGCTATTATTTTATTGATGAAAAAAATGGGTTTGAGAGTTGAACAATGAAAGTTAGGCTTCTTAAAATGGATCATGTCCCCGGGCGTCTAACACTCAAGCTACGCCTCTGTAATACAATGAAGACCATAGTAACCAGTGGCTCCACAGTTACCAGCAGATGACTGGGTCGTGTTTCTCCACAGTTACCAGCACTGAGTCGTGTGTCTCTACAGTTACCAGCACTGAGTCGTGTGTCTCCACAGTTACCAGTAGATGACTGATTCGTGTGTCTCCACAGTTACCAGCACTGAGTCGTTGTCTCTACAGTTACCAGCACTGAGTAGTGTGTCTCCACATTTACCAGCACTGAGTCGTGTGTCTCCACAGTTACCAGCACAGATTCGTGTGTCTCCACAGTTACCAGCAGATGACTGATTCGTGTGTCTCCACAGTTACCAGCACTGAGTCGTTGTCTCTACAGTTACCAGCACTGAGTAGTGTGTCTCCACAGTTACCAGCACTGAGTAGTGTGTCTCCACATTTACCAGCACTGAGTCGTGTGTCTCCACAGTTACCAGCACAGATTCGTGTGTCTCCACAGTTACCAGCACATGACTGATTCGTGTGTCTCCACAGTTCCCAGCACTGAGTCGTGTGTCTCCACATTTACCAGCACTGAGTCGTGTGTCTCCACAGTTACCAGCAGATGACTGATTAGTGTGTCTCCACAGTTACCAGTAGATGACTGATTCGTGTGTCTCCACAGTTACCAGCACTGATTCGTGTGTCTCCACAGTTACCAGCAGATGACTGATTAGTGTGTCTCCACAGTTACCAGCAGATGACTGATTCGTGTGTCTCCACAGTTACCAGCACTGAGTCGTGTGTCTCTACAGTTACCAGTTGTTTGTGAATCATCGCTGTATCGATACCATTAGTAGGATATACAATCACAAATTTGCTTTCTGCATCCGGGCATGACAAGTTTGATGAACTTGGATGTAATGCAGACACACATTCCAGAACACACTACAGTTCATTGTAAATCAAGCATAAATTTCAAAGATGACCTTGTCTACAGACGCCGAGAGGAGTCTGTCACGAATAGAATTCTCATTCGTTTGAGTTGTTTCTGCAACCGTTTTACCATTTGACGATAGCACAAAATGTTATGATAATTTTTGTTGACATCGGCTGAGCTCTTTTTGATCTTGTATCGTGCTGTCGTACAGTGGAACTACAATTTGAACTCCAACTGCATCAGCTTATGTCCCCCCCTACCCCCCCCCCCCAACCTACCATCCCATGTGTCATTGTTTTGAAATGCCTCAAGATTTTCTTTTGGTTGATTCTATCCGTAGTTCGACTGATAAATGATCGACTCATGAGTATTGTAATTCTTGTCATAATGAATTGGATGCCCCCCCCCCCCCC